TATATGTGTTACTGTTCAGGGACCCTCAACTTGAAATTCTTGACAGATATTAGTACAATGAGACGGAAAAGATTCACAAACTTTCTGTACATAAAATAGGATTTTTACTCTCCAATTTTCTATTTGAATGCAAGCTTCTAGGTACATACAATCGATCGCCTTTGTTGCATTTTTTTGGTTCTTTAGCTTATAGTGTGACTATCTATCATCTGTTGCTGTGATAAACACCATGGTCAAAAGTAGCACAAGGAGGGAAGGGTTTATTTGCCCTCGCAGGGTGTAGTCCATTATCAGAATAAGAAAAAGCTTGAACTCGAGGAGGTAACCTGGAGTGAGGAACTGAAGCTGAGCCCACAGAAGAACACTGCGAGCTGGTGTTCTCTCCATGGCCTTTTTGTTTTAAATCATACATTGCAATGCAAGGCAGAACCAACTTCCCATGGTGGGATTGTACATGCTGAGCTATGCACTATCACATGAATCATTAACCAAGAAAATGTGTGCAGAAAACTCTGATGGAATCATTTCCTGAGCCAAGGTACTCTCTTCTCAGATCACCAAAGCTGGTTTGAAATTGCCAAAATGCTTACCCATCCAAAAAAGTCAAGATGGCTGACAGAAATATCATCAGAGGGCCATCATTTCCTCCACATAGCCACCCTGCCTTCTATTGCTAAGCCCCCTGCTTTCCTATCTGCATGTTTATGACAGCTTGCTATAAGGGTTATTGTGTAAAAATCATTGTGGAGGAAAACTGGGAGTCAGGTTCTGTCCCTGAGATCTATGTCAGGAACTGACGAAGGTGAGGGCATGATTGTGTATAGTTATGGATTGAAGCTCCTCAGAGTCATCTGGGGAAGTAAGGCTGCCATCCAAACCGTGGCTTCTAGAACAAGGTCCAGGAAGGCATTGTACAATTTGTCACACTTCTTAGAGGATAAGAAGTGTGTTTCTGTCTTCTCAAAGGTTCTATGGAGAGAGAGAGATCCCTGGACAATGAAGTGAAAATATCATATCTGGATAATACTGTGAGCAAGAAAGGACACTTGCAGAACTCATTCTGGCAGGAAACACTCTGCTGTCACATGTCATTATTACTGATACTTTCCCCTAAATTCTTGAATAAATCAAAGTTCAGCATCCTTGGAGTGTTATAGGAGGCTTTCAGATGGGTAAGATGGTCAAGGCCATAACTACTCTGGATGTGCCATTCTCCAGAGTTTCCAGTTGCTATTAAGTTTGCCTTGTGTCAAATGTTATCTCATAGTCACAAGTTGAGTTTTCAATAGGAATTTTTTGATATGACATTCTGTTTCAAAACATACTTAGTTTTTAAAGTTCAGTTGTGAGGTTATAGGTGTAAGAAATAAATTATATGAGGACTACGGAAAAAGTTTCCGTCATTCCACATTCCTTTAATACCTCATTTAAAATGCAGGCTTAGGTGAAATTTTAAAAAGGTATAAATTAGAATTTTACAATGTCTGAATTTAGCTTACTAATCATTTCCCTCTCCTGAAAATGAACTTCATTTCTAAACCCTTCACATCTTCAATTAGAATAACATCAAGGAAGGAGAAATTTAACAGATTAACAGATCGTTTTCTTTGTCTCAAGCTACAGGAGAACTAAGATCACATAGTAAAGACTAATCAGCTTGGAAGAGGGTCAGTTTTCATGCACTGTGACAGTACGTGTCTTTGGTTACTTCAGTAGCAACAAAGATGGGGCTCTTATACACTTAACGCATCCTCTAACATAATCTCGAGCTAACCATGAAAAGAGAAGGTGAAAAGACGAAGGAAGAATGGAAGGAAGAAACACAAAAGAGGAGGAAAAAGGATAAATTTTAACTGGGAAAAATGTAGTATTAGAGTCAGAGAGAAAAAAGGGTGAAGGATCAGGAAAGGGGAGAGAGAGAGAGCGAGAGACAGAGATGGGTAAAAGAAAGAGGGAGAATAATAATGTATTTAAAAATTATATAAGATCATTTTGGTATGAAACCATTTTATTATGTGAAATTCAGCAAAAGTTTACACACACACATATACTATATATATATATATATATATATATATATATATATATATATATATATTCCCATCAGCTTGGGTTACCCAGTAAGACATTGTCTCTAAAAATAACTAAAAACACAATTACAATTAAAAATAAATCCAGGTGTCTTATGGTGATCAGAGGAATGGACAGTTAAAGTATTTAAACTAAGAGAAACATGAGCATACAGGCCTGCCATTGGCTTGCCTCTAGGGATATGCAGCCCTCTCTGTGAGAATCTGGCAGTCAAGGGAATGAACCATTGTTAGGAAAGACTCTTCCTGCTATGTCTCGTATTTTTCATATGGGACCTATAGAGAAATAGCAGTGACATTTCCCGTGTTGTCCTGAGCTGTTTGCACACGCCTCTCCTCTCTTTTTTCACAACTACCATTCACAGGGCTCCCCGTATTTTAGTGGAGGTCAGCAGTAACCTGAGATCTTGGTAAAGTACATCTCAGGGATGGAGTTGCCACTCCATGTACATAGAGATGAGTTGTCTTCTGTAACCAAACTTATTCGTGCAAGTGTCCACTGTAGTGAAGCATGCAGATGAAGGGAGGGCCTACCTACCTTCCTAATGTGGGGCAGTAATGTCAAGTCAGGTCATGCTAGAACAGCTTAGAAAGGCCAAGTGAGCTTTAGATCCTTCCACCTTGTTCCTGGACCACACTTGATCCTTGAGGTCATCTGAGAAGGTCTCTCGGTCTCTAGAAGAACATGGTTGTGATTTGACAAAGGTGCTCACTCACCAGCTAATATACTGGATAAGGAAACTCCGGGGAGCTGCTGCTTCAGAGGAACTTATCTTGTGACACTCACTATGTCCTTATTAGGAAAAATGTGTTAAGGACGCTGGAGATGTGTCTAAGGATGTCACAGCGGGGAAAGTGGAGCTGTTCAACATATTGATGTCCTCAAAATAAGTCCATCAGACATCTTATAGCCAAGGACAAGGGTGGGAATCTGAAATGCGAAAATATTGCGACAAAACGGGATTGTAGTTGAAGAACATTCTTACTGGACTGATGCTCAAGTTTCTTTCTGCAGACAGGCAATAATGAGTAGACTATACCTTGGCCACCATGGAGGAAGAGAACCATGATCAGATTTGGAAGGTGATCAGATAGCAATAATGATGATTTGTCGTGACTTGACTTATCAGTATCCGTGAAGGAAATGAGATACTAGAAGTACGTGCATAGATATTGTTAGCAGACACTCAAAATTCTAAATGGAGCAGCATAAGTTTATTAACCAAGTAATGAATACTTAGGGATTTAAAAGACTTATGGATATTATTATACTGGTTTGCTCTATATGACATGTCTTCTTTTTTGATATTTTTTTATTTAAATTTGCAACAAGCTTGTTTTACATGTCAACCCCAGTTCCCTCACCCTCCCCTCCTCCTCCTCTGTCCCCCTCCTAACCCCCATCGCATCCCCTTCTTGCTCTCCAGGGATGGTGAAGCCTTCCATGCAGGATCTTCAAAATCTGTCACATCATTGGAACAGGGCCTTCTTCCATGTGTCTAGACCGAGAGAATGTCCCATTATACGGAATGGGCTGCCTAAGTCCATTTGTATTCTAGGTATAATACAGATTCACTACCAAAGGCCCCATAGACTGCTTAATCCTCCTAACTGACACCCACTTTCAGGGGGTCTGGGTCAGACTTTTGCTGGTTTCCCAGCTATAAGACTGGGGTCTGTGAGCTCCCCCTTGTTCAGCTCAGCTCTTTCTGTGGGTTTCTCTAGCCTGGTCTTGATAAATATCTCTTTCACTTTCGTTCAGAAATGTATTAGTTGAGTTTAGAATTTGTGCAAATTTGGTAGTGTAGGATATAGGCTAGATAGGTAACATATGCTTTATCTCTGATCAAAGGAACAAACAAAAATAGCACTGAATACAGAAAGAGAATATATTTGTGTCCCTTTAAGAGAAAATTACATAACTTGATTAAAGGAGGATATTCTGACAGTAGGACAAGGATATTCTATTATTTCCTAATGGTCTCTCTTACAATACTGGTACTGTTAAAATGACCTCTACCATGGCTATGGTAAGGGAAAACATTCTATGTATGTTAGGAGGCAAAATCCTATATACAGAAAATGAAGTGAGTGGTGCTGTGATTGAGGAGAGGGAGCAGAGTATTATTGTTTTATTATTACATAGCTTCCACAAAGCAGATGAAATCCTCCTGGAGATCTATGTGCTGATGTTTGCACAACAATGATGGTGTTCCAAAGGCCACTGAGATTTATGTCTAAAATTTAAATGTTGAAATTTTAGATGATGCATGTGCTATTGAGTGAAAATATTGACAGCTCTGATGATGCTAAACCTCAAGTAGAGACATGTCAGGCAGTTTGATGAGACTAAGGTCTACATTCCCCTCCTTGCTTTGGTCTTGACCAACATTTCCAATGTGGAGTCACCCCTCCATCCTTAGGCTTCTTCTGAAATGTCGCTGTGTTCCTCTGTGACTCTGAAAAGAATGCACACCGAAGTTAGTGTTCTCATCTGATCCTAATGATGCTGTGGATCAGACACGAACTTCAAAGGAAGACCAGGCTGACCACCTACTCCATGGTGGAAATCTAATCCTCTTATTCTAATCTAAATGCTGGGCTGAAATCCTATATAGCTCCTTCAGGAAACAGCCTAACCTCAATATTGAGCTACTATTGAGATAAATTCAGAGACTATTGTGCTATCCACAGCCTAAAGTTTGGTTCCATAATTTCCTCTGTAAAGGTCCACAAATCTAACTTCCCATGGTCCAGCGGAAGCAGCACACACCCACCCCTCCAGGACAGATAAGATCAAATCTCATTAGGAGCCTGGAGGCCCAGTTTCCTTCATAGCCAATCAGAAGAAGGGAAGCATTGATGGAAAGGGTTGACTAGCCAGAGACTTGGGATTTAAAGCCTGAGTGAGGTGTTGCTGAGCCAGATCCTGACACCTCAGCAACCTCTGAAGAGCTTCTGGAGTGCACCGAGGAAAGAGCAGTCAACACAGGTGAGGCACTTCATCTACCAAGGCAGAAAGGGAACTGACCTTGTAGTAGAAGCCCTGAGAGACTCCATGGAGCATCAGGCAGACCCTAGGAAAGAGAATATCTTCTCCACCTCTGCAGCCGTGCTGTGTCGAGGTGGGTGAGGGTGGGGCAGCCAGAGAGCAAACAAGACCCTCAGTGTGTCCAGGTCTGTACAGATTCCAATTTAGTGCACTTGTGCTTCTGGCCAGAGACAGTGACAACTGACACCAGGTTCGCCAGGGTCATGCTCATCACATTCTACTCTGGCAGACATTATTGCTTGGATATAACCATTAGATAGAAGCTTCATTCCATGATTGTCATGTTCAGAAGAAGCATAAGGTTCATGTCTCTAGCCAAGGTCTGTAGGCAGCATGATTTATGAGACCCAGCCTGAAATCTCAAGAAATCTTTTATGTAGTACCCTATCATCACTGGTGGCTATGGTTTCCTGTGGCTGTTCTATGTGAGTCCTTTCTCAATGAAGTAATGAGTGTGTGGGTACTTCCTTCAGATGCGTTAGAATAGTAGTATTGCTGATTTTCCTCAAAATAACAAGGGGCTTTCTAGAATATTTTCTTTCTAGAAGGAATGTTTTAAACAAGCCCACGTCACTGTCTGTATTTACATGGGCTATGTAGCAATATGGCCCCTAAATTCAGGGGAAAACCTTTTTACATTGAATCAGATACCATATCAGAGAAGTTTGCATCATTACAAATATTGAGTTAACTCTTGCAAGACTTTAGCTATGGAGGGTTTGAATTCTTCTGTCCAAGTTCATCTTTCCTATCATGTCAATTTGCAGTGAAATGCATTTTCCAAGAATTCCTAGAATTCTTTTCCACAGGATCTGCAACAAAGTGCCATCTATGGCTAATGTTGTTCAAACTAATATTTAGCCATTTCCAAAATCCTTAAGTAAACATTTGGGAGAGTGGTTAGAATCATTTTATCCTGCAAAAATGATTTAGTTTCTCCAGAGTGTTGGTGTATTTTCCCATTCATTATCTTCTCTCTGTAGGTGCTTGAGACATGACTCCTACTGTCCTCTTGGCCATCCTGTGCTTGGGAGTGGCCTCAGCTGCTCCAACACCAGATTACAGTTTGGATGCTGAGTGGGAGGCGTGGAAAAGGAGCTATGATAAAACATACAGCCAAGTAAGCCATGTGGACACTCAAAGAAGTTCCTTGTAGAGCATCTTCATTGCTGAGGGGGGTGGGGTTCATGGATATTAGAGGCCATAGTTAACGCTCCTACTTGAGGTATATACATAACACAGAGAAAACAATTGGTGGCGACTGCATCTGCTCATCCATGTGTTGAGAGTGGCTCGTTTTAGTGTCCTGAGATCCCTCTCTAAGACCTGTATGCATATGCAGCAGCTGATCCACTTGCTCAGGTAGAACAGGGGTATAGTTATAAATAAATGCTATTCACAATATTTATTTCCAGGAGGAAGAAAAACAGAAGAGAGCAGTATGGGAAGAAAATGTGAAAATGATCAAACTGCTCAGTATGGAGAATGGCCTGGGGATGAGCAACTTCACTGTAGAGATGAATGAGTTTGGTGACTTGGTGAGTGTGACTTCCGTTGTGTAGTATTCTGCTTTGTCTTTTCTGTTGTTTAAATGGAGGCTTTATGTACTTTTCCTTGAAGACTGGTGAGGAAATGAGGAAAATGATGACAGAGAGTTCGGTTCTGACTCTAAGGAATGGGAAACGCATTCAGAAACGAGGAGATGTCAAAGTCCCCAAAACTTTGGATTGGAGAAAAGAAGGCTATGTGACTCCTGTACGGAGGCAGGTATGACATCACATGACTGTCTTCTTCAACTATGGCAGTGGGACCAGCTATTGGCTTGTCTGTCTTATTTGACTGTGGTATGACATGCTAGTCACCAAGCACAATTTTATAACTGGAATGCCACAGTTACTATCTTTAGCATTATGTTACTAGTAACAAATATTCCTTGGTTGTCCCAAGGAATGAGGAATCCCTAATTCATGCACTAGCAATTATAAGGCCCATGCAAGTATAGAATGTATACTTGTCATTTATGAGCACTCCTTTTTCATGAGTAAGGTTTTTTTTACCAGTCTGGTCCCACCACCATGCCTGCTCCATATAACACACAGAGACACTTTATTAGATATAAAGCTGTTGACCACTTACTAATTTCTTATTGGCTGGCTCTGTCTTAAATAGTAACCCATTTCTATTAATCTAAGTATTTTCACGTGGTCTCTTCTTATCAGAGAGAGGGGCCAGCGTTCTTCTCTCAGTCCACTCTCTTGGATTTCCTTCTTCCTATTTCCTCTCTCCTCCTAGTCTCCCAGTCCACCTATCATGCTTTTCTATTGGCCAACAGTGCGTTATTCACTAAACAATAAAAGAAACATATTTACAGAATGACATCTCCCATGGCTACTTACTCTTGAACCTCCATCTAGTGGTCCAAGTCTATCTGTCTCCGTACTTAATTTGTTCCATTAATAACATTTACCACACTATGCTCCCAGTAAGTCACAGCCTTACATGCATTGGTGTGTGCATGTCTGTCTACCCACTGGGGCATAAGACACCTCCCCATGAAGACTGACCATTCTTACCTAAGAATCCATTAGATGACAATAACACACATGTGATAGAGTATTCAATAGCTTGAGTTGTTTCAGTTCATATTTCTAGATGACTATATTTATTCTCTATTCAGCTAGGTTGTGGTGCATGCTGGGCTTTTGCTGTGGCTGGTGCCATAGAAGGACAGATGTTCAAGAAAACAGGCAAACTGACCACCCTGAGTGTACAGAACCTAGTGGACTGTTCTACATCTTATGGCACTAATGGCTGTAAAGGAGGCATAATGTATGGTGCCTTCCTATATGTGAAGAACAACGGAGGTCTGGAGGCTGAGGCAACCTACCCATATGAAGCAAAGGTAAGTGGGCTTCTGCGTTGTCTTTTCAGTTCAGCCGGGGCAAGGGGAAAATGGCAGAGACAATGCATTGCCTTCAGAGCTCACACTGAATGTGGAATCTCCCACTCCACCAGTGCTGTCATAGGAGAATCCACCATTGCATGGCTGTCTGATTCTGTGGTGCCACGTTGGTGTTCCTGCTTCTGTGCACATGGAGAATGTGCACATGTGCAAATCGCTCCACATGTAATACATAATATTGCACCATGATGATTTCCTATATAGGTAGACCTATGAGATGCCATTGAAAACATGAGAGTTGGTTTTGGGTTTTAACTCTCCCAGTAACATTTCACTTCCTGGGATGATTTATTACAGTCCAGATGTGAGGATGGTTTGCTTCAAAATGACCAGTGTTGTGATTGTGACTCTTGCTATCCAGATGGTAAATGGTAGTAACAAATCTTTTAATTCTTTTCTTTTTAAAGGAAGGACGCTGCAGGTACCGTCCTGAACATTCTGTTGTTAAGATCTCACGCTTTTTGGTTGTCCCAAGGAATGAAGAAGCCCTAATGAACGCTCTAGTGACTAATGGGCCCATTGGTGTTGGAATTGATGCTGCACACGAATCTTTTAAAAAATATAAAGGAGGTATGTGTTTTTCTAGATATTAATGAAGAAAACTTCTTAACCTTTGGACATGCCAGGTTGATATCCTAATAATGAATAAAATTTGATGTGAATTTTTGGGTTTGTAAATTTGCCACTTGTTAACACAGTAATCATGTGTGTTGTTATTAAGAGATATGACATACCTATGTATCTGAATATGTCTTTGTTCATCATATTATTTAGCTTTATTTACTCACTTTTCTCTGCTTGGTATATATTAAGATATGGAGTCATGGTCTTTCTAGAACTGAATCCTAAATGATTCCTTGAATTAAGAAATGCATGTTTGGTCATGATTTCTTGGAATGTGATTGTATTAGCAAAAACACAAGATGTGAACGAGTCATCTCATGTAGGTACATGAAAGTGCCTATCAACAAAGTTATGCTCTCTTTCATATTTCGATTCCTGTTAACAATGGCCCCTATTTCTATTGGGATTTCTGTCACTTCAGTCAAATTATAAAATGCTTTACTTACTGTAGTTAACTATGTTCACTATCATGTTCCTGGAGCCTTTTACTGCATTGACTTTCTTTTTCAGGCATATACCATGAGCCTAACTGCAAACGTGATTCTCCTAATCATACGGTGCTATTGGTTGGCTATGGTTATGAAGGCAAGGAGTCAGAGGGAAGGAAATATTGGCTGGTAAAGAACAGGTATTAATTGCTGAAATTATTTGTATTTTAGATTTCATAGGGACTTTCTGTTTGTAGTTACAATTTAGATACATGTCACAGAAAACATTGTTACAATTAAGTGAAAAAGGTACATTTTCTTTTCCTTTTTAGTTGTGTGTCTGTGTGTGCATGTGTGTGTGTGTGTGTGTGCGTGTGCGTGTGCGTGCGTGCGTGTGTGTGTATGTGTGTGCGTGGTGTGTAGGCAATACAGAGGAACTGAATTGTCTTCTTCAGTTCCTCTGTATTGAGGAAGAGAATGTCATTGATCCTAGAGCTTTCTATTTTTGCTAGTGTGCTTATCTAAATTGTTCCAGTCATGTCTTGGCTTCTGAATTACAAAGTAACTGCAAGAACATCCTAGTTTTTAAAAGTTACTTTCATTTGTTATAAGTGTGTGTCTTTTCTACTAAAGGGAAAACCTGATTTCTTTCAGCCATGGAGATAATTGGGGAGAAAATGGGTACATGAAGATCCCCAGAGACCAGAACAACTACTGTGGAATTGCTTCCTATGCCATGTACCCTATATTGTGAGCTGCCTGGGGGTAAGAAGGAAGGGAAGATATTAGAGCAAAACATACAGAAGAAACCCCAGCCTCTTCAAGTGGCCGGACTCTGCTGTGTGAAGGAGACACTTGAATCATTGCAAAGACAGGGTAGAATGTGAAATCTGGTGTTTGCTCTAGAAGGGCATGACTGCTGTTGTAACTGATTCTCTGCACTCATTTGCATTAAGAATTCATGTAGTGGCCACTGGTGGTGGTGGTGCAAGTCTTTAATTCCAGCACTGGGAGGCAGAGGCATGCAGATCTCTGAGTTTGAGGCCAGCCTGGTCTACAAAGTTACACAGAGAAAACCCTGTCCCCAAAACAAAACAAAACACCACCACCAACAGAAAAAGACTTCCCGTAGTAACTTGATTTCAACTTTTTCACTGTGCCAAATGAGATATTTACAAACAAAAGTTACATTCAAATGTAGTACTCAGTAATTCATTTTGTGAGGAGACTTTTTTTATGCTCAAGCACGGTATTCATCTTGAAGACAGAACTGACTGTGGTGCTGCTGTCCTAGGAGGAAGAGTGGGCGGCTCCTCTGTCATGGATGGTCTTCCGTATGCATTGCATACAGACTGCAGTTTGTGTACTAGCAACCCTGCTCGGCGAGAGTATATGAAAACTCCTGGATTTGATGTCTTAGCAGACAAGGTTTTACCAATTTCCATACATTACTTGTGTCTATATCCCACTCTTTGGTAAGTCCCCTGCCTTTTCTTCTTTCTATGCTGTACTAGTGATGCTGGTCCTACAAACAACTGGACTCCATGTCTTTTGTGAGCCTTCATCCTCAATTCCTATGACTGCAGGAGCCATAGTCTATTTCTCCTGGTACCTTACTACCTCAGAACTCATTTAGGAAAGCAAATGATGAATGCTGGATTGCATTGGACAGTTGAGATAATGTAACCTAGCTTTTCTTTTTGAGTCCATCTGCCCTAACACTGTGTGTTTTCCTATTCAAAAGAAAATAAACATATATTCTACTAGATGGGTCATGATTGACATTTGCTGTCCATTCACTTTGTCCAGTGAACACAAGGTTAGGTCTTATTCCTTTGAGGACATAGCTTGTATTGTATGAAGGAAATGCAAGAAGCAACTGGATCCTTTTAGGCATTGGCTCCTTCCTTATGATTCCCAGGGCTTTCCTCTGGGAATTCTATGTCCAAGATAATGAGTATATTGCATTCAGAATAATGTGTTAGTCAATTCATTGGTGGTGATTGCCCTTCGTGGGTATATCTGCTAATATGCCATGCAAAGTGGCTCCCATGTTTTGGAGCTTATAGGGAGAAGCTTATCTGATAGGCATGGTGGCCGCCAAACTATTCCCAGTAGTTGTTATGATCTGGTTGAGATTACCATGATAATCCAGTTGTTCAGGGTATTTTTTGGATGCTGAACCAATCTACAATAGACCTTGCATATAGACAGCCAACACAACCCACCACAACACCCAGCTCCAAGCTGCCTTTCTCTCTTTCTTTAGACTACAAACAGGCAGATAAGAAAAACAAACAACATCCTCACCAATCCCCTCTGTAGCAAAAAAATCCTACTGTGGTCTCCCTTTCCTCTCTCACCCCTTCCCCGACAGATCACAAAGATCTTCCCCTCCATCCTCCCTCACTCCCACTCATCCGGGCACCCCAGCCTCCAGCACCTGCAGGCATTCACTGGTAACACAGCAGCTGAGCAGGCCAGGGAAACCAAGGGGCATTGGAAGACCTTCCCCACTTCCTCCTGCCCTCCAAATGCAAAGGCCCCCTCTCACCCCTTCTTTCAACAGAAAACCAGCTGTAAGCGTCCTCCACCCCTTCCCGCGTCTCCTGTGGGTCCCTGAGACCACAGCCGCCAGAATCCTTCTCCACACTAGTGGCTTCATCCCAGCCCCCAACCCCAGCAGCCACCCATTCTGAACCTCAGGTCACACCTTCCAGAAAACCAGTGAGACCGCCTGCAGACCCCTTCTTCCTCTGCTCCTGCATGCGGGCACACACACACAGACACTCACATACACACAACAGACACTCACTCACACACACACACACACACACACACACACACACACACACACACCGGGATCTCACCCTCCACGCCTTGCTCTGCAGCAGAACACTTACAGCTGCCTTCCCTTCTCCGTGTTCCTATCTCCCGTGGAACCCAGACATCTTCCCCTTCATACCTCCATCCACCCCACTCCTTGATTTTTCCCAACCCCACCCTAGAACACATCCCCTGCTAACGTAAGGGCCCCTCCAGCCTTCCAAACAAGTAGGAAGAAAGTAGACCCATACCTCTCCTTCTGCTCCTCCAACTTCAGTCCTCCCAAATCTCACCCCAAGCTCCTTAGCAGAAATCCTTTTGAGGTTTCCCTTTCTTCTCTAACCTCATTCCCCAAAATCATCTCCCCCTACCTTCCATCCCCCAACACACCAGCTGAGCTCAGGGAAACAAATAAGCTAGCAAACTGAAGACCTTAGCCACATCCCCCTCTCCTCCAAACACAATTACACAGTCTGGTCCCTATCTGCTGCCCCCTTCCTTCACAGTCTGTCACATCTAATGTGGACCCCACAGACTTTCCCTCCTAACCTCCCCCTGCTTCCCATGTATGCTTTTCTGCCATGCTGGTGGCCATGGCAGAGGAATAGCAGGTGGCAGCTACGGTTCGGGAAGCTGGGCCCCCGAGGAAGCAAAGCTCCAGTGGGTGAATCTCAGATAGGCAAGACCCTAAGAGCTTGGTCCCAGAATATTTCTTGCTACTATTATATCGTTGCCTGTTTGCCATTCCCATATTTCTCTGGAATGTGGCATGGTGTGAATGGGCCTGGGGAGATCCCCACTGCCCTTAATGTTTTATGATTGTCTCTTGGAAATATCCAGGTCTGGTGGGCATTTTTACCTGTGGACTATTACGAAGATGTCATTGATGTTTCTAATTTTAGCCATTCTGGCATAAGTAAGATGGTATCTCAAAGTTCTTTTGATTTGCATTTTCTTGATGGCTAAGGATGTTGAGCACTTTCTTAAGTGTCTTTCAGCCTTTTTTATTTCCTCTGTTGAGAATTCTCTCTTCAGTTCTGTACCCTGTTTTTAAATAGGGTTATTTGGTGTTCTGTTGTCCCAGTATGGTGAGGTTTTTGCTCATTTTCTTTTTGGATATGGTTTTATTTTTCTTTGTTTGGGGGGTTGTTTTGTATTGTATTTTTGTTTGTTCTTTTAAGAGAAAACTTAAAAGTTTGTTGGAGAAGAGAATATGGAAGGACTTGGGCAAAGGAAAGAATATGGACAAAATATATTTATATTTAAACATTTGTAAATAGTAACAAAAAATTGGAGAGTGAAAAAAAATAAGTTCTTCCACATGTCCTCCCCAGCAGAGATGTCCCCTGTTAGGGAACTGAAATCCAATCAGAAAGAGGTTGGTAACTCTCATACTGTAAATGCCTCCATTTCACTAGTGAGGATGTTTATCCAAGACAGACCTTATTAGAAGGTCAAGGGTTACAGCTGAGTAAAAGTGGCTAGAGAATTATCAAGGAACTGCCTGGAGGAGAGACTGAGATCACAGCAATCTTGATTTCCTCTCCACTGACAGAAATGAGTGAATTAAAACTGAGTTGGGGAACTGTACCAATAAAACAGGTAGAAATATTTAGTCATCTGAGGAGTTAAACAAAACACACGACTTGTCTTGTAAGGAAAGGTGCTTGCTGCAAGGACTGGAAACTCGCCTCTTCAGAAAGGAGAATTGTTCAAGCCACCACAGGCACAAATTCTGGCCTCCCCTGCTCACGGAAAAGAAACAGAGATAAGAGGTGACTTCCCAACCAGGAGAACCACCTCCACTGAAAATCCTGAATGGAGATCAAAGACTAGAGGTGAATGGCTGAGAGAACATTTTCGTCACCAAGTCATAGGGAATCATAAAATGCTAAAAAGAAGACCTTCGCTATTCTCACTTGCCCCACAGGCATCCAAAAGCCTAGGAGGCATCCATAACCTTTCTCTAGAGATTATGACATTTTATGGAAATATACACAACACAGAATCCAGATTACAGAAAGAGAAAGTACTTCTGAAAGACAAACATTTAGCTCAGTTTCCCAAGACATTCATGGACAATCTGGTGGTTGAACCAGGACAGCCTCTAGATGCTGTTGTCAAACTCCAACCTCGGTCTTTCATAACCTTGAACAGGAAAGAACAGCAAAGAGATAACTGCATGAGGAGTGAATGGTTACAGTGAGAACTAACCCAATGTAGGCCATCCACTAGAAACACCTTCCAAACCAGGGACAGTCTTCCATTGTGGGCAGAAAAGTCACATTCAATGGGAGTTTCCGCCAGGACAATGTTCCATCTGAAAACCAAGTATTTAGAATAATTGACTGTGTCATATCCTCCATGATATATGACGGCAGGGTTTCCCATGTTGGCTCCTGCTATGTCCATCAATAAAGAAGAGCAACTTTGATTGTAGAAGACAATGAGTTCAGTTGCATAATTGACAGCACAGCATTGTTGGCTGGCTGCTTGATGCCCTTCCCTCTTCTCTTCATTCCCAATCTAAAATGGTCTACAACCATTCAGTCATGTCGGGTCAGCCAATGAGTTGTTATTTTGCTCAGCTGTTTTCCTATCCATGCAGAAATATCCATTTCTGCTCTTCCTACTTAGTAAGTCCGCAGACTCCATCCCTCTTCTGAGGAGAGACTGGTGGACCAAGAGTCCCATTGCTTCTTCCTCTATGGTAACATTGCTGCCTACCCCCAGTGTCGAGAAATATCAACACCTCATAGATGGAACTAGTAGAGAGTGCAGGGAGAGGGGGTGATGTCCACTTCATTCATCATACATCTCAAATACCTAACCCATTTCTTACATCAAAAACAGTATCACCAAATGGCTGAAGTCAAGAAATGACTAACATAGTCAAAGGTTTAACATTCAGAGTCTGTTAAGTAAAAG